TCCGGGGCAGACAACAGCGTTGAGCTTGCAGAGGAAGCCTCTAGGAATGGGTTTCGCACCAAAGCCGAAGAAGATGATGCAAACGAACGGGCTATCATGGAAGCTTACATCGACTTGATACAGGAAGAAGAAAGGGAGAGATATGGGCCTTCGTACATTCCTCCTTCCCAGGAAATTCCTGCCGGGCCTCGGTCAGCTCCTTCTCCTCCTCCTGTACCAGGAAACACCAAGCCTACTAGCTCGGCTGAGCCCCAAGACCCAATTGATCTCACCTATGACAATGCCTCTTACGAACAACCTTGGACATGTCCCACCTGCACTCTTGAGAACCCAGCCAACTTTCTGTGCTGTGATGCTTGTGCCTCGGAACGCCCACGACCCTCAGCTACTAGATCATTATCTGGACCGCCAACCACAGGATCTTGCAGCACAGACAATCGCAACAAGAAGAAGCGCCCGATAAGCCAATCTGCTAGTCAGACTGTTCTCAAGAACCGAACTAGGGCCGTGGAAACTCTCGCTGCCCTTGACAGCACTATCGCCAAGCGACCCTTGGGCTGGATCTGTCAAACATGTGGCACATTCATGGAAACTGAATGGTGGACTTGTTCGAACTGCGGAATGATGAAGCAGGACTCCTGAGTCAATCGCACGTATTGATTTGATAGACTGTATGATATGATGATCTCTACGATAAACGACTCCATACTCTGAATTTGTTGATATAGACTTCAATCGACGATAAACGTCAATAAATCTTTCATCCACTTCTGCACGATGGTAGAGTTTACGCCACTATTCCAACCATGTGGCTTTTAAACCGTAATAGTTGCACTTTGCAATATATCTGTCAAGCAGATATGAAATCAATAATAATCACGTGATCAGATATTCTCCACACAACCATCCTTGGCACTTGAATTTTCCGGTCAACAACGATTTTCTTCCACTTTTTCTTCTTCCTTGTACCTATCAAGGTTCACTCTTGACAGCCAAGAAAGCTGTACAATGCCTACAGCTTTCATTCCAACGACTTGAGTCACAGATCAACTTACAACTAATCAGAATTGGTATGCAATATCCTTATCCCACCCAACTCCAACCGAAGCCCACCTCGAACAAGAACAAGCTTGAAAAGCAGACAAAAGCCCAATCACAACCTTCTCCTAGATGATGAGAACATTTTCTTGAACCGATACTTTTAGGAAGAGCCGGAAGAGGTATGACTTGAGGAGATTACCATATCAAAATTGGGGTCTCCCTTGTCGTCGGTGCTTATAATGGTTCTGCTGAGTGGAGTTCCGGGTTGATGATTTGGACTTTTTTGCTTCGCTTGTGTCTTTCTTGTTCCTGGAGGCATGCGGTACGGGGGTTTTGACCCTGGTGGCGTTGCTTTTGGCATCTCAGTACTGCCTTTGTGAATGGATCGTGCTGACTGCTTGAAGTGATAGGTTAGACTACTCTTTCGCTTGGTTGCGAATGCCTGGACTTTTGCACTTGTGACTTGATATATCGAGATCGAATTCTTTCGTCGTGCAGGCTCGGAATATACATGTCTAGAAATCAAGATACTCTATTAACAGACCAACTTTTTGCCCTTCTCGAAACTCCAAGGATATAAAACTCTCGTAGCCGACCTCAACCAACATCGTGTAAACAATCGCAACGCCATATATGCACCGATACAAAATACATGCTCGTAGATTAAGCCCTAAGAAGCAATTTGGACAAATGCCCGCTTCTTGCCTGTACCCGTCACCTGTGGGTGCTCCTGCTCCCACGTTTCCTCATCGACGTAGTCCTTGGTGCTCGCTTCCCGCACTTGCTGGCCTATGATCTGCAAGGCAGAAAGGTTGAACCCCATCTCGTCTTTTTGACGGGTAAGGACCCGACGCAGAGTTGACCGGATACTATCCAGCATAGGTCGCATCATCTTACTGGCAATAATCTGACGATGGTGCGTCTTCAGCATGAAGAACAGAACACGGCACGTGAGAGGAATATTCCAGCCCCGGTTGGCCCAGATATTGAGGAAAGTGAAAAGCGCAGGGACTTTGGAGAACGGCAGAACGAGCAAAGCGTCCTGGAGTGCAGCAGCAGGGACCTTCTGGACCACACTAAGCACATGCTGCTCGGCTGAGATGTTACCCAGTGCCATGTATAGAGGGTTGCGAGCCGGTGGTGCCGCGTTTGGCTGGCTGGCTTTGACGGCGCGCCATTGCCGCATCACCTCGAGGTCTGCCATGCCCAAATCCAGAGCTTCCATGATCTTTTCACCGGCCATGAGCGTTTCGGTGGTCTGCTTCCCAGCATCGACTGCCTCGGCCTTCTCTCCGTCTGCATCCTCATCCTGCTCTAGAGACGCTGTCAGTGTGTTATCGTACATCTCTTCGAGCTCTTTCTCGCGCTCTTCTTCCAAAAAGAGCTGTTCATCTGTCTGTTGCCAGATGCGAATGCTCTTGTCATGGCTGGCGCTGACGATGAATTCGCCGGAATGGCTGATAGTCAGAGCCCAAATTTCACCGTGATGGCCTTGGAGTTTCTGGATGTGTTCAAATTTGTCACCATCCCAGTATTTGATGACACGGTCCTTGCTCGCGCTGAAGAAGTTGTGGCCGTTGCCCTCCTTGTTGGTAGGAACGAAAGTGACAGCCATGATACTGTCCTCATGGGCCAGGAATGCTTTGTGGCAATCACCAAAGTCCAGACCCCATAGTCGAACTGTCTTGTCCGCGGAACAAGTAACAATGAGCTTGCTGTCATAGGAAATGTCCATGTTGAGGACAGGAAGCTTGTGGCCATAAAGGTTGAGGAAGAGCTTTAGAGAGTCGGTAAAGAAGACCTTGACGGTGTTGTCTAAGAGGGCGACTGCAAGCAACCGAGCATCAGGTGAGAAGCGGAGACTGAGGATGTCATCCGCAACTTTGAGGGTTCTTGTATGTACCAGTTTGAGGCGTGGTGTAGTTCGTTTGGTGCCGGGTATTTCTTCCTGGACAACCTGGAAGTTCCAAAACTTCGCGGACTTGTCAGCACTACCACTGACCATCGATTTGCCATCGGGATGGACGTGCAGAGACCAGACTGGTCCATCGTGCGCCTTGATCGTATCCAGCAGAGTCGAGGATGCAATGTCAAAGACTTCCAGTTCGCCGTTCTTATTACCGACCACAACGATCTTGTCACCAGGGAGGAAGGCAGAGCACAGGGAATAGCCGCATTCCAATGTACGCAGGCAGCTCTGCGTACGAACGTTCCAAATCTTCAAGCTGCCGTTAGAGGCAGAAGCCAGCATTCGGTCGTCGGAACTCAGGGCAATAGATCTGATGTCGGTACGGTGACCCGGGATGTCAACGGCCAGGTTGCGATTGTAGTCGGAGTCATCATCATCCTTCTTTTTATTCGCAGTGGTAACGCTGTACGATTCCAACTGGTTGTTCGTGGTCGAAGCCAGAAGCTGGAGATTGCCTGTAGCTTTTGTTCGAATCCAGTCGAAGGAACGGACCTTGCCGCCAGTGCGAACAATGACGTGAGGAACAAAGACTTCAGTAACCGGCGCAGACGAAATATCGTCGACCTTCTCATTGTCAACTTCTGCCACTGCCCCTTCCTTGTCTGCAGCCCGCTGGGCTTCCTTCTCCTTTCTTCTCTTACGCTTCCTGGCCAAGCTCTTTTGTACCTCCGTCGCTGAACGGATGCGCCAGATTTCTATTGCCTTCTCCGAGCCATGGAAGCCGATATAGTCAGCACGCGGGTGAAAGCTGATACCAATCGTTCGATCCTTGCCGTTCCGATAAAGCGTCCCTCTGTCCGTCAGAATTTTGCGCCCTTCAGAACCAACTTTCTCTCGCGAGATCTCGAGCATAGCGCTTTCATCAATCGACCAAACCTTGAGTTCTCCATCGTTTCCCGCGGTGATACAGCCGCTTTGGTCGGGGGAGAGGCCCAAGCTCCAGCACTCGCCGTTCGATTGGGCCACATGTGTCTCAATACAGTGTTGCGTAGCCAGGTCCCAGATCTTGATTAAGGAGTCCTTGCCGGTAGTAAGCAGAAATCCCGCGTGTTCGCTCAGTCCAGCGGCTTGTAGCAATTCGGAAGACAGATTGAGGAAATGGAGCGAGGTGACTTGGTCGGTGTGTCCGCGCAGCTTGAAAAGCCCAACTTCCGCTAGCAAGTCCCACACGATAATATCTGTGTCCTTCGAGCCACTAGCGACGCGCACACCGGCAGCATCGAAGGCGAGTTGAGTAACGGCGGATTTGTGGCCGTTGAACGAAATGATCACCGTCTCTGTTCTCGAGTCCCAGATACGAATACTTCCATCATCGTACCTAAATAGAACCAATCCTGAATGTAAGTACCAAGCAGGTAATTGTCCCATCTCTGATAAAGGAAAAAGACCTACCCGACAGCGAAAACGTCCTCATCGGTCTTACTCTGAGTGATCACGGTCACCTGCGCTTTGCAGGATGTGTCGCGCCACCGTCCAAGTAAGTCGCCTTTCTTGACGTCCCAGCAGAGAACCTCCTCACCGGCACCGACAATGGCCCTTCCAGCGCCTGTGCGGCGCGCAGTACCAGCGAGATCATCGTCTCGGGTCCAAATCGCATTCGACGAACCCGACGCAACGAGCCCGAACGTATTCGAATGCTCGAATTTCCTATAAAAATTAGCTCCTCGCGTTCAAGGGTCCACCATGCACGAATTTGCCAAACAAGCTGCACATACAAATATGACTTCACCATCGTTGGAATGCCCAAGTCGATAGCAAGGAAAATTTAAGAGCTCCGAGACTGACTGCTATCGATAGGGCCAAAATGCGCCAGAAAAAAACTACGGGCGGCGAGAGCGACCACCCCGGACAAATCCCCACCGCCTGCCGTCATTCCCCCCAAGGCACCCAATCGACCCAAGACACCAACTTGGTCGACTATTTACAGGTGCCTAACAGATACTCTCTTTGCTATCGGAATTAATTGAGCTGTGGTACACGGTCTGTCGTCATGCTTTTGCTTGATTATCAGAACGTTCTCATTCAGAACCTCCTGACGGAGCGGTTCTCCGGGTATAGCTGTCCCTTCCCCGCCTCCTTTGGTATACGCGGGTCCCGTCCTTTACGATGTCAGCTAACAAATTGGCTTTTCTGCTTGTTGCGACGATAGAGATGCGCCGGTTTCAATTGACCAAGTTGTCTCCGACTTTGACGGAGTGACGTTCCACCTGTCGACGCCAGAATCGAAGACCAAGATCCTTATCTCCATCCACGTGAAATGCTTCAAAGAGCTGGTTCAATACGGTGCCCAACAAGTACTGGAAAGAGAATATGGTCCTTACATCGTCACACCAGAGCCTGGCTATGACTTCTCGGTACAGATTGACTTGGAGAACCTGCCCGCCGAGCAGGAAGCTCGGGACGAGCTCATCATGCGACTTGCGTTGCTGAAGCGTAACGCCATGGCTGCTCCGTTCGAAAGGGCATTCGACGAATTCGCGAAGTTGTCAGAGGAGGCATCCAGGTACACGTCGGAGTCCGCACCCCAGGGAGTCAAGGAAGGTGGGGAGTTGATGGCAATTCATTACCGGGAAGAGGAAGCAATCTACATCAAGGCCAGTCATGACCGGGTCACGGTGATCTTTAGCACTGTTTTCCGCGAAGAGACGGATCGTATCTTTGGCAAGGTCTTCTTACAGGAGTTTGTTGACGCGAGAAGACGAGTGGTGACGTTGCAGAATGCGCCGCAAGTGCTCTTCCGCAGCGACCCTCCCCTGGAGCTTCAGGGGGTCCCTGGTCTGCAGACAGCTGGGGACGGTAAAATGAGTTATGTCACTTTTGGTAAGCAAATCTCGTTACATATGCTGCGAGCCTTGATTGACAGCTCACAGTCCTTTTCCCTCGACACCTGACTTCTCAACGACGCTACGAAAATATCTCTCACATCCAGACCTTCCGTGACTATTTCCATTACCACATCAAGGCGTCCAAGGTAGGCTTCAATGATATCATTGTTTCCCCTCTCCAATTCACTGACTCTGTATAGGCATATATTCACACTAGAATGCGTAAAAGGACGGCAGACTTCCTCCAAGGTGAGTCGCAATGGATACCGCGGTCTAGTTTATTGCTAACAATAACAGTCCTCAACAGAGCTCGACCTGAAAATGAGGAGCGGGAGCGAAAGACGGCCAGCGGTCGCACGTTCAGGGTTCATGGATAGAGCGGTCAATCGTGTTTCTTGTTGTATATTACGGCTCGAAGGCAGTACGAAGCATTTGAAGCTGAACAAGCAAAGTGCACATACAATTTCACCACTTACACAGAGCAGCTTATCGTACGATTATTTAGCCGTTTCAGCAAGAGGCAAGGGGGTGTCTGAGGGTTTGACGTGTCTCAAAAGATTTGATAGCATTCTTGCTGGGGTTTCAGGTGTAATTGCTTTTTCCTCTTTGCAGCTGCATCTGTCAATCTGCACGAGGTGGATATCCACTTGGCAATAATGAAGACTGATTATCATCCTGGGTTCTTCGTATCTACAGACTTCACCGCTATCTTGGCTTCTCTATGGAGAGTTGTGGATCTTTCTCGGGCCACTGCTACTTGTTGGTCTCTGTCGTCCTTGCTTCCTTAGGGTAGATGTGAGCCTCTCGAATCACAGCCAACACGTGTGACAACGTTCTTATTGCAGGGAGTATCCCTGAGAGTATGGCACTGGCAGGGCGAAATTGTTCGGTCGCGAAGATACCAAACTGCTCAATTGAATACCACCGAGAAAAAGCGACGGACTTGCAGGTTCAACTAGCAGATGCCTGATTCACTGCCAAGTTACCCAATTGTGATTTGCGACCAGTAGACTAGCGGATGTCAGGCAGTAGCCTAGAGAGCGGCACCCTGGCAGCTGTAATCATTTGATCTGGGTGCTATGAATATCCCACCAATAACGCCTCACATCCCCTTGGTCGCGTCACCGAGCAAGTCGCAGGATGCTAAGTGTTTCGATTGGGTATATGGAACCAACAGCCTGGGTCGGAGTCGCACTGGGCATGCAGTTCAATCTGGTGTCTTGGTATCATTGGTATGCCGGTAGAGCAGATGACCAGATCGGTGTTGGTCACTGATGGAAGAACACAAAAGCGCTGATGCGTGATTCAGATATCCGTCACAAGCCACAGCCAATACTGAGCGACTTGTCCATTGGAGAAGGCTCACCACGCTTGTGTGTTCTTTGTCGCCATTCTAGTGGCTCTAACCACAATTCCAGTTAGCCTGTCTGGACCAAGGGTTTTGATCTCTGTGCCGCATTTCTGCGCAGCAAATGGCCTGCCATACTTGGGCTTTTGACTTCGTGGCAGAATCAAAAACGTAGAACCATGTCTTGGGGATCCCTTTCAAGGGAAAAAAAAGAAATCCAGAATAAACATGGAACGTAGGATTCAGGTGCTTCCACTCAATTCTATTCGACCAAGTTGACGGTCATTGTTTGCCTCTTGCATTCTCTTCGACATCTCGTCGCAAGGGGTCAATAAGCACCCACACGATTATCCCAAGTCCAAACAGCGTGCGCAGTGTTGTGCTAGACGGGCATACAAGAGCATCGTTGGCATTGCCTGCTGTGTTCTCCGCTTTCTGCAGCTATACGTTCCTTTTCATGTGAAAAATACGTAGCCAGTGGAAGAGCGATCATGTTGTACCGCCAGTTATGCCACATAATACCATAAATAAGAGAGAGAGTTTCCAAAATTGATTCGAAGCGTTTATCAAGACAGAAGCCAACTTTCATGGCCTTGGTTGCCTCGACTAATGCACATTGTTCCGTTGTTGCATTATACAGACTGTCATCATTCTTTGTCTTATTTGCACATTCCTGGGCCACCTCAAAGTCGAGGATTTCTCAGAGAATATATCATCAGGATTGGATATTGATGGAGAAGAACAAGGCAGGAGAACCTTATTACTCCAGATATAGGAAACGGGTGGTTGAGTGAGAAGGCTGGGGATTTTCCGCTGTAGTTGCGTTGCAAGAAACAGGAGCAGTGCACATCGATACAGCTTGGAGGTTCACCTTTTGCTCACTTACGATATTGAACGAGTTCCCAAACTTTGCTCACTCGGGTCATTGAAATCCCTCACCAGCTACCATCATCTGTGCCATGATTATACGCCAAAGATAGAAGCTCTTGATCTTTACCAAGGCCTCCATTGGCATAACTTCCACCATACTGCGTCTGACGCCACGATCAGGTTCCTCCAGGTAAGCCCTCTAATAAAGTCACAGACGTTTCTGTTTATTTTCTTTTTGGTCGAGGCATCATCATTTTGTGGGACGACTTATTGATGTTGAAGTCCTCAGGTTGTTCACGCTGAACTTACCCTTGTTTACATAGGCAATTAGATGCTCTTCGTCTTTACGTCTAACCAACATCTCTTGGAGCAATTATTCGGTGCTTCAAGGCGTTGCCTTTACATCGCTCGCTGCTGAAGGGGCAAACAACGAAACCTGCTAAAGTTGGAACGGTGACAACTTCACGGATCGTGAGCGTGTTCGTTGACGGGCTCGAGAATACTCCGGTTCAATATGTCGGACAAGATCAGTTTCCTACCGTTGGAGGTACTTCTCTCCATCTTGGCGTACCTACCTTTTGAGTCTCTCCTTGCCTTTGGAGAAACATCTCGCGCGAACTTCAAGTCTCACGCCCTTTGCCTCAGGCGACTTCGCGTCGGAGTGTTTGAAAAGCGTGTCCATTCCATGATCTCTCTACTTCAGGCAGGCTGGGCTACCCCCGATCAACTTTCTTCATCGCGTGAGAATGATGGTTCCAAGAGTGACTATACAATTTCCGTGATCCAACCAGGCATCTATGCACAACAAGAGTTCGACGGAAAGCCACATGCTAAATGCAAACTGCAAAGAAATCGGGACATAAGCCCACAAGACGCTCAGGAGCAGACGGTACAGGCACAGAACAAAGTTCTCGCGCGACTGGTGGGCCGATACGGGCCTTCGTTGGTCAAGCTTGAGTTTATGGCCTACGATCTTGATGTCGACGGGGCAAAAGCGCTCGGAACCAGATGTAGACACGCGCTGCGCTATCTGGCACTGCGTTTCGAGCATCCACATATCCGCGATGGGCCAATGAGGCCAACCGCTTGGTATTATCCTGCGCCGGGTAGCACTGCTTGGAACTTACTAGCGGGCATAGGGAACCCCAAGGACATAGGGGTCACCGGCCTTGAGACTCTGATATTGGAACGAACAGGCATTACGCCATGGCAGTTGGCGATGCTTGTGGCGAAGAATCCTAGGCTGAGAGTCTTGAAGTTGAGGACCTGCCGTGGTGCCCAGCCGGAGTTTTTGAATTGGCTCGGGGGCGTTCAAGAGGATAAAAACGGCGCAGTGATAGAAAGGCAGAGACTGGCACCTGGTGCGAAGCTCGAAGTTCTCTGGCTGGAGAATTGCCACGGTTTACTTAGCCATCCAATAGATGAGCAAAAAGGTAAGCAGTGGCCAGCCAACCCGACTGACGAGGGCTTTGAATGGGTCAGAAATCTATCAAACCTACAAGTAAGTTTCTCTCTCGGGGCCACACCTTTTCCAGAAGTTGGCCCTTCTTCTCGCAACTCTGGCCATGCTAATGATTCTTCCCTCCAGTCTCTTTCCTTCAGAGAGTGTGCGTGTATATCGTCGGAGTATGTCGACAGGGCTAACAAAGCCATCTGGAAGATTGCAGAAGTTATTCTGCCATATGCCTTTGTTACACAGAATTCAGCTATTGAAGTTGATCCTCTTCTTTCATAGCCCTTGTATGAAACCATTCTCTGTCGTTAATAGACTATGATACTCTTCTGTGCATTGTTCATCTTTCTCTGTCTCATGGATCACAGTATGGTCCTGTCTATTTCATCCAAGGTGTTAACCATGAACAGTTGATGACAGCCCTGTCTATTCATGTAGTCTCATAGTCTCTTAACACTACTGGAAGAGTAATTATACTGATGCTAGCTATATATCTTGCAGGTTTTCTGGATAGAAGTGGCTACGCAAGACTTACTGGTCAGTAGTGTTCTCAGATATCGATTCCTCCGCTTTGCTGTGAAGCAATATCATGACTGTTTATGCTTAGTAGCTTAATGAGTGGCTTCTTAAGGATGTCCGATGTAAGAAAGCTTTCTATGATCATCTCTGATGATAGTTATAGGCACTCAGCATGTCTTTCACAGTGAAATGGGATCTATGCACCAGGTGCTCAGGGACAACATTCACTGACCAGAAGCAAAGCACATCACTCAACACATCAACACCACTCACCATCCCTGTCCAGTTCTCACCACATACCCAGCCGCACTTTTCTCGGTGCTCAACCACGCGGCTTGACTGCTGACCCGCAATTTCATCAACAACGCAGTGCTCTCTACCAGCCATGCGTAGATCAAGCTCTAGCTCTCACTCCTGGCAGTCTGCCTTGCAGAAGGTATTCCGCAGACGCTCATCCGAGTCGAAGGGTAAACAACCTGCTTTGGATGATGATTTCAAAATCGGCGAACACAAGGACGGCTTCTACAAGTACTCTCAAGAGATGCTCGAAGAGAAAAACGGAAAATTCGAACCTCCCACGATGCGTGCTTCGGACAGTGCCGAAGTTTACGACATGCGTGCTTATAGCACTGTCAGTAGCACTGTCAGAGTTTCTTGCATGCGTGGTTCAGACAGTACCGAAGCTTCTTACGCTTCAGCTGTGAGTGGACGCAACATCCTTAGCAGGCAGTTTGCCAAACAGAGCGAGGGAAAAGAAACTAACATAGAGTCAGCAGATGTCACCCATCGAGATCCCCACTCTTCCTTATACCATAGGATCATCTGAATGGCTTTCTTTCGCTGCCCGTGAGCAGCTTCTCGACAATCATTACGGCGGGACGACTGCAGAGAAATTTGGCAGTGCCATCAGCATCTTTTCCAAGGTTTACACCATTGCCAAAGTTCTTGCTTGGGCGCTCAGGATGTATGGCGTAGAGGTAAGTAGAATAAACACTGAGACCTTCCAGTAAATTGTGTAGATCAGCACGGAAAACTGATCGTGGCTCTCCCTCCACAGTTAGACGACGCTCCTGGCGGTTTTCTGGCTCGCCTCAAGGACGCCGAAGCGGTTGTGAAAACAGATTCTCTTGTTGAACTCATCGATGTCACCGAAAAGCTTTATTATTCTCTGTATGCGAGACTGGTTA